TTCGTCTTCTGGTGAAATCGACCTTCGAAACCCTTCACCAAACACTTTTACTCGAAATGGAAGTAAGCTTAACAATTATGAAACAATAGATTCCTCGAAACCCAACTTTTATTCTCCTATAAAAAAATGTTAGCTCTTAAAGTCTAAATACTTTCTCTTTATCTCTCCTTGAAGGAAAAACGCCAAGTCAACCAGCTCAAAAATGGTCTAAATAGTAAAATCCTTCCCTTGAAAGGAAAGGTACGCATGTGATCTTAGTTTCCATAACACGCTTTCTCATGGATCTTTTGTGCCATGGACCTTTTGTCTAAAGAGCTTTATTAACTCCCAAACTTAGGGAAGCAACATAAATTAACCGAGATGCAACCACCCTAGTTGACTCATAGCTACATTTTCCCACATAGTCTTTCTTCCCAAAAGGTATTCTTATCCAGACTAGAGGCGACTGCCGTTTCGACCCCTTCTAGACTGTTCTCGTCGGCACCCCCAGCCGGACTTGAACCCGGATTGTGAGAGTGTAATGACACGATAACTACTACGCCAGACTGGCACAAGTGCCCTTGGGCCACAGCAAGTCCGGTCCTTTGCTATATCACATTTCTATGGTAGAATTATGGCTAAAACATGGCTAGGTTACGACTAGGTTACTCATTTTCCGTGCAAAGGCAGGCTTTCGAGACTATCAATAGATCTAATATAAAAGCGATTCGAGTCCCGCTGGGGGTGCTGATGGGACATGAGAGAGGTCGAAACTTCAGTTGATTCCACACTGGATGAAAATGACTTATGGGGAGCAAAGCCATGTGAAACACGAGGCCAATTCATATGATTCTGGATAAAGTAAACTACCAGTCCTTCTAAGTCTTAAACGAAATATGGTCAATACCGCTCTTGCATCCTTTGGCCATCGCCTACTCACTTCTAGTCCTAGTAGTAGCCACATAAAAATGAAAACTAGTTTACTTTATTAGGGGGACTTTCATTTCGTATGAAAGTGAATGAAGAAGACATTCGTTGGTCGATCTCACCGGATGAGTTACATTCACTCCATTTCTTTCAGGGTAGTTGAATTTTCCTACAATCATATGAGCATGCCTCACGTTCCCATTTAATCACACATAGCCTTACTTCCGAACAATGTGCTCTCTTCTAGATTGGAGTGGAGTGAATTTTTGACCTTGCCTGAACTAGCTTCATCACCATTTCCAGTAGGACTCAAACGATATAGAAAATGCAACAGTGCTTCACCAATAATCCCATCACAGAATTTGATATAAGAAAGTGCCTGGCCTTCCTTGAAGGTTACATCGGCACTCGTGGCAGTCTGGCGTAATGGTCACCGTGTCGAGATCATACGCTGCATTATCAAAATCCTGGCTCGAGTCCCGCTGAGAATGCTGACTAGACCAGGTCTAGACTGCAGTCCACTTCAGTATGGGTTCTATGCATTTTTGTAGAGGAACAGTCGCAAAGTAAGAACTGGCAGATATGGTCTTGGGGGTTGGAATTCCCTAAACAAATTTCCAATTCCCCAAACTAAAAAAGCCCGATTTTTGCATTAGTTGTACAATGAGTGCCTGTTTTTTTATCTCCGAATAAACATTTTCGGCCTAGACTTGGCATGAGCGGGTCTTCACAACCCAGTCACGTTTTCAGAAATGCCTCAAAGAGCGCAGTCCCTATTGCGTCCTTTGCTTTTTTTGCATCCGTCCAGTTAATGATCCCCTTCCAGCCATAAAATTATGTAAAAGCACGTAAAAGCAATGGCTAAGCTCTTTAAAGTCGTCCTAAAATCTTGACTAAGCTGAACATTTTGAGCTTTGCTCAGACCTCATCAGTGCTTAGGAAACCGAATATACCAAGATTCAGATTATTTTTGTATTCTTATCTACTTTTTTTGGCATTCAATAGGGCGAAGGATTGAAACAACCATGATTGCATACTGCAAAAGTAATTTGCAATATTTTCTGATCTTGTTGGAAGGGATTCACGGTCACTGGTGAGCGAGAGTTAATGGAGTGGACTGAATGACCCGGCCAGGAGATTAACGAGCAAAGATTGTGGCATGTTGCGAAAACAGGTAATAAAGGAAAGGGTAGGCCAAAGCGAGCCAGAGCAGCAAAATAAGCAAATTGATTGGGCCTCATTCTCATCTCTTTGGATGCTTTTGCTTTCAAGTCTGAGATCCCGAAGAGCTGGGTTAAAATGGGGTTGTAGAGGTGCTTGTCACGAGAAACGCCTTGGCTTGAGCAAAGCGCTAAATAGGGGCGCTTTGCGTCCAATGCTGAAGGATGGGCCAAAAAATGGATGATTAACCTACATGACGGGATGACTTGGGCTGTCAAGGGACTCGTAGGTGAGTCGTCGTCAACACAAGATTGCGCTAGCCAAAACAATCCCAATTCATGTGTGAAGGCCAAGATGTTGTGGAATTTATTTTAGTCGCAGTCTACGTTCGGTGTATAGAACTGGTGTGACCTTGTTTTCGCAACTTGGTCGTGTTGGTCTTGCTATGATAATTAGCATAACAGAGGACTTTGAAAAGGGTGCGTCCAAGTAATTCCCTCTGACAACTCGACAAACTGTGAATCGCAATTCAGGCCGCCTGACTGAAAATGTAGGACTGGATCATCGGAACGTATGGGCATTATTTCTGCGTAAGAAATATTTCTCGGCCTCAATTTTGCCCCAAAAATGTAGTACAACAGTTTTAAAAATTAAGTAGTATATCGAGGCTATTAGTAGTTCTTGAACAAAAGCGGCAGTCAACCTTTGTCGCTTCAGATAGTGAATTTTACCGCAATCAGATCAATCGTCCCCTCAATTTACAATTGAACGGAGTCTCGCCTCCGAAGGGTATTATCATCCAGGATGGAATGCATTCAACAAGGTCTCATCAGCAGCCCGAGCGGGACTCGAACCCGGGTAGGGCAGTGTATACGTTTCATATATCACATTTTCATAGCGGGACTGTTGCTCAAGCAAACAGGTATTTTCCAGTACAGTCGACAACGTCACTTGTATGGAGTAGGATTTCGAGACTATCAGTAGATCCTAAAATTAGAATTTTACTTATCTCATTTTGGGAAAATTCTCCATCCGTCCTTGATCATCTTAAGCGACCTAGAGTAAACAGAGCTATTGTTCAGAACTTTTCGACATCGAAGCTGTAGGAGAATGTAAGTTAGCTTACAACGCCCGCAATTCGGAGAAGTTGTCAGTCTTGAGGACATTTAAGAAGGTCCATTTCTATTGGCCTAGTTGATTCTTTTGTGACCCCTGACCATGTGCACTTGACACCAGAGTCACCAAAAAAGACCCGAATCGAGAGAAGTCACTTTGACTTCGAAATTCATGCAAGTTGTATATAAGTAGTATGTCAAGACTACCAGTAAATCAGTTATATGAAATGTATTCACAGTAGAAACTGTAGTGGACCCTGGATGAGAATAACTTTTGGCAAGGCAAGGCTATGTGAAATGCAATGGAAACGTCATCTCTACTCATATCATTGTGGGAAAATTCTTCTTCTACCAGTCCTCCATCACCTTAAAAACGAAACAGGTTGAATACATCTCATATAAGTTGTAGTTAGGTTGTAATGGTAAAAAGGGTGACTTTCTACTGGTGAACCCACATGTCCAAAGCTCGAATCTCACTGGTTCTGTTGGTGAGACCTGGTTCCGGTTGGGTAGCTTTGAGAATCCTCTTTTGAAATATACGCCAGAATGAATTTCGTCACAAAAGCAAGCTTTCCCAGTAACCAATTGTGCCTCCAATGGTAGGCTATCAACCCAGCACTAGCATACAGAAATGATAAACATTTTCACGACATCTGCAGTACATGGCACAACCCAAATTTCAGTGGCAATTGATGCTCTCCTGACGGGTTGTGCCAAACTCACCGCAAGAGCCCTGAGAGACAGGAGGAGCAGCTGCGATGTCGGCATTCGTCGAAGAGAACTGGATACCGAAGGACACGTGCACAAACCACGCAGATAAACTTTCGATCCGGAGGCTCTATGAATTTGACGGAGGCCTCCCTCGTGGGGCTTTCCATGTTGCCATGACCAAGCAATACCGGCTTCACGGGAGTGAGTTGCGAAAGAGACTGATTGGGGCTCCACATAGCAGCAAGGGAGTTGGAGGAGGACGTGGAGGCAAGCGAAGCAGATGAGCCCTCGACGGTGTTCTCGACAAGAGTGCATCGGCTGGCTCGAGCACCAGAACGCAAGATGGCGGACAGTTGTTTCTTGCCGCCGACTGCCTGCACTATAGTGACAAAAAGCAGAAGTTGACTTTGATTCAAAGGTTATACGAATCCACAATTATCTTCACTTCTCATGGAGTCTCAACAATCGCACAATATACCAAAATTCACAGCCGGATACCGGCTACTCAGCTTTTCTCCAACAAACGAAATCATTGACAAAACTCTTTCCCTAACTGAAAAAAACGTTAGGAAGGCTTCATAGCTTGAGATGGCCCAGGTTTTTTAAGGCGATTGAAATTGTGATTGTTTAGGTTGTCACAATGAAATGACTAGAATGCTTTACGATTTCATTAAATTTCATTCAAATTTGCCCCTCAAAAGCCATTTTCATGCCTGTCTAGACTGCCATTTGGACCCTTAGAAAAAGACTCGAGATCGGGCCCAATAAATCTTCGAGAGTTGCACACAGGAAAGTTTCCTTTTATCCTTACGGGCCATTTTGTAGGCAAAACAGGATGTGGCCAGCTATTATTCCTAGTTTAGTCATGTAATCCTGATAATTGAATGACTAAATTCAAAAATAACAGACGAGATCTGGTTATAATGAAACTTTTAGGACTGTATAAGTTATTTCGTTATAATCAAATTGCGTTATACCAGATAAGGCAAAAAAAACTATTCTATTACAACAAATAATATTTTTGTGGAGACTTTTATTTGGCATGGAAATGATGAAGAAACGAATCCAAGGTCGAACTCACCAGAAGAAGACTGCTGATTCCTGTTGTACTGCATCCGTTTGGCTTTAATACAACATTCAGATTTACACAATACACAAGACATTCTATCTCGTTTATGGTAGAAACGAACTAAGCTTTCGTCCATCGTTCTTACAAGATGATCAAGTCAATCAACTCTAAGTCAAAAGACCGTCCCGCTCTATTCTACATGATACCTATACTCATAAATACAAATACGAATATATATATATATATATATATATACTTCCAGATAGACAAATGGATATAGCATGCTTTGGTCGGTTCTGTTTTTTAGTAGTTACGGTACTTTTATACGAAAAAAAGTTGGGTTTAGAGGAATCTCTTGTTTCATAATTGTTGAGCTTACTTCCA